TGCTCTCCACCCCGCTGCCCGACGACACGACGCGATTGTCGCGCGAATGTCAATTAGTACACCTATTCGACAGCAATATGTTTAATCGCGCGTTCGTACGGACTCAGTTTCATTCATAGATTTTCAAACAATTAAGACGTGCGACCCCATTGCGCGAATGTCTATTAGGAGACCTATTCGAGATCAGTATGTTGGATCGCGTGTTCGTACGAGTAATTGATGAATTCGCGCGAACTTGCGATGATTGCGCATTCGCGTTGTATTAGGAAGACGCCTTAAGTGAAGCTGAAACCATGTTTAACTTCTTTACATGCATTCACATATACATCTTTTTTTTTTTCTATCAGCTCGTAAAAGTTCACTAACATATTCACGATGTTAATGATGATGTTATCCATGTTCATGATTTTAGATGCATTCATGTACGTGATTGTGAGTTCTTGCAATAAGGTGAGCATGGTTTTAGCTTGGATTTTACATCCCTTGAAGTGTACGCAGCGCTCAATTTTTCTTTCTTTGTTGGTATAAAGATACTTGAAGTATTATTAATTTTACAAGTATTAAGTCAATTTAGTTGGCGAAAATTTGCAATCGCATTTGGTATTTGTCATGATAACAAGATAAAATTATTTGTAAAGAAAGTGGGGCGCGGGTTCCACATTATTACAAAATAATTTTGTATAGGACGCCACGGGCACGTGTGGGCTTGCGGCTGCGTTTTGCAAATATATTAGCAGTGTACACGTACCGATTGTATGTGAGTGAATATTGTATTTTTTTTAAAGTCTAAAATAGAACAGGTAAATGTTTGCTTTTACACGTTATTTTATATATTATATTTTATATTTAAGTAATTAGCTGATCTGACAACATATAGTGACCACATCAATACTAAAAATCTTTTATATTTTAAATAAATAGATTGACTCGGCTATCGCATAAAACACTATGTATCTCTCAAGTAATACATATTATATTAAATTAGATTGTTTAGTGCGAATTCAAAGTCAATTTATTTATTTAAAAAAAAGATTTTTAATATTGATATGGTCGCTATAAGATGTTGTTAGGTTAGCTAATTACGTAATAACTTAATACAGAAGGACCCTTAAGTAGGGACTAAATAAATTAACCGACTTGGTATTACATGGACCTCAAAACTTTTTACGGTAGAAGAACTGAGATGCGAGACTTGGTTTTTTTACAAGTTATGTTTTTGATGGCATCTTTTATTAATTTTTTTTTAAACATTTACCCGCACACTAGGATTTTCTCCTGTATCGTGGACGCAGTTTACAAACATAAATTGCACGAGGACAAACATCCAGACCCGGAACAATTATTTTAAGGCCATACAAATATCTTGTTCCGTGCGGGATTCGAACCCGCGGCCCCAGCGCAACAATTCATTGCTAAGCAACTGCGCCAAAGAGCCGTCTCATTTCTTTTTGTAGATAGTTACATCTAGGTACCTATCTACACCTATTATTCCATTATATTATACATATATAGGTACACTGATTCATTCACTGCAAATGTAACTTTGTAATCCTATATATTTATATGGGATTACAAAGTTAGTTATGCAGTTGGTGTATGTAGAAGACTGGACGAATATTGCAAAATATTTTAATTTTTCCTTAATTTGTACACTAAACGCTAATTGTATTCTAAATTTTAAGCTTCTATTTCTGCTGAAAGTGCCTTAGAGTTTTGATGATCGGTCAGTCAGTGGGTGACACAATTAAGAAACATTGACTAGTTATAATTCTTAAACTACTGGTTCAAATTGAATGAAATTTGAAATATACCGTGTTTATATAATCCCTGCTTGGTTATTGAAAACTCAGGCTTCTAGTTTTATCCACAACGAAGTTATAGAGTTTCGAACATGGCCTAAACTGCTTCGAGAAAAGGATGGTACGGCCGTGCCGCTATTTTGTGGTCTATTTGTAAACTAATCAGTCACTAGTAGTATGTTAAAATTTAAAGCCCTTTCTAATTCTCGGGATGCTTTACGCTCGTTACTCTTGCTATTTTTATAGATATTGCTTCAATCCTAACCACACAGTAATTGCTTAGCAAGGAAAGCACTGTTTATTTTATTTGCTAAAATAGCTTGGTTTTATTTTCCATTACGTCTGATTCATAATTTGTTATCACTCTTAAATAATCACTGCCGGCCATCAAAATAGTATACAGTAATATTTAATACTAGTAATATTATACTTCATAAAGGACTAAGACTTGTCGATAACACTATAATAGTGCACTACAATCGTATACATGGCATCGTCAGGAAGAGCGCCGAGCGACGTGACTTCGCGGAGTTTTATTGTGGTTTTATTGTACTTTCATAATATTAACATTTCTCCGTATACTTTTTTTTCAACCATTTTTAGAAGCTAGTCTATTGGTGCAGTCAAACAGATTATTGAGCAATTCAATCACTTTAGCAGATTGTATAAAAGCTTTTTTCTTTATTTTCTGTGGTCTCAGACATCGATTTCAAAACAGCACTACTGCTACTGTGCTACTAGCTACTATGTTGCTCAAATATTGTGTGGCTGTAAGGCCTCATTTTAGCACGATATTTAGGTGCAACATGCATTATTCTTATTTTAGTAAATCTCAGCTTCATTTGGTTTTTTATTCGACGTGAACCAAATAAGATACAGCTTTTTTATTATTTAGCAACATAACCCCAGCCTGAAGAAATTTGTTCCTGATAGACTAGAATAGATGGGGCATATCATAAATAATGTACATTTTTCATCGTTTAGTAAAAAAATATTATGATCTACATCCCTTTTTGAGTAAATATAATGCACCTACATTTGCAGGACCTTGATCGCAAACTGTTGTGAGAACTTATATTCAACTGCATTGATGGCGTTGATATTGGTATTTAAAATGTTAGCCAAATTTTCAAATGAGATTGTTCCTTTAGCAAACTAATAAGAAAAATGCTGCTTATTTTATTTATAAATGCCTTGTAACAGGAAAACAAGAGCTTGGTCATCGCATTACAACAAAGAAATCAAATAGATCATTAAATCATATTAGTATTAATATGATTTAATGATATAATGATGATGAAGGTAATAGAAATTAGTAAAATTAACTACATTTTTTATGTTAAGCAATCTTCATCAGTTCGTAAATTTCTACTTCTGGATATGGGCTCTTCCTTTGCAAGGAGTATTTGACCTCAGAAAACGGGATTTTTATACGGCCATCTATCAGATGCCAAGTGTCCCATAGCGACTTCTCACGATACGCACATGGCGAAATGAGGGAATGGATCCTCTTACGTCACCGTCACTCGGCGATATTAACAATAATAATAAGTTATCAATTTTATATGAAACTAACTAATACCCGGCGCGTTGCTGTCGCTGAAGAAATAAGATCGTTTTAAATTTGGAAGAGATATATTGTTTTATTAGGAATGATAATACATAAATTGAATGATATTTTCAAATAAAACACAATGGGCACCTTAGTATAAAAACTATGTCCACTGTAAAATAGAGTGAAATAAATAGAATGAAATAGATAGAGTCTCTAGTTTACGATAGTATGGGTCTGACAGCACAAAAAAAATAAAGCGTATAAGGTTAGGTTAGGTAAGGTTAGGTTTCCCCCTCCCCCCCGAACGGGTTCCCGCCTTGTCGTGGCGGGGGGGCTTAGTAGCCGTGGCTTGGTCAACCGCGGTGAACAAAGAGGAACCCCTTGGCTGGCCCGAGGTGTAGGGCCGGCCCGAGGTGGCCACTCCGAGTGGGCTTGACGAGCCCACTTCGGATGTGTGTTAGTGGGCTGCGGTGAGAGGGGTGTCCGCTCCCTCTACCGCTGCAGCCGAGGTGGAGTCGCGGAGGAAGAGGAGTGTTGGTATGGCGATGCGCCACTCGCCCTATCCTCCGCGACTCAAACGGGGCCGCACCGTTGCGGTGGTGGTGGGGCCGCGGGGGGAGAGGAGTGTCGGTATTGCGAGGCGCCGCTCTCCCTACCCTCCGCGGCCGAAACTTGGTTGGCGGCGGAGCCCGAGACCAGATCCGCCGCTGGGGTCGGGAAAGCGGGCGCTATTATGCGCTCGATTTTCCTGGCCCCATGGCCTCCGCGTATCTGACTCGGGGGGGTCCGATACGCAGGTGGAGTTGGAGGCTATGGAGGGGGGTAGCTGAACACCTCGCTACCCCGTGTAGGAGACGAGGCCCGGACCGACCGGGCCAGCACTAGTGTGGGGCTGCGGAAGAATTTGGATTCCCGCGGCCCTGCGCGCACGTGCGAGGAGGCACCGTGGGGTTTTAGCCGGTAGGAGTCCGGCATAACCTTCCGGTTGCCCCCGCAGCCAGAGGTATCAATGAGGATTTCTCCACGAAAAAAAAAGGTAAGGTTAGGTTTGCGGCTGCAGCGAGGACACGGCGCGGATAAAGCGTCCGTGAAGGCGCCATGGAGACCTGATGTCGCCCTAGAAGGTGCCAGCGGGCGATAGATCGGGGTGTTTATCGTGGTCGCATAATACGGCCCTCACGAGCGGTGGCGACGTCTCTGGTGAACCAAAGGAGTTTAGTGCTCAGGCGGGCTGCGCTAGATGGATCGAAAACGTCAAACATAGCAGTCCACGTGACTCATGCACCAAGGCAACATTAGGCTCACGGCTGTGTTTTTAGTGAGTGCAAACCCCACATAACCAAATTATCTCCCTGGACGGTGCGGTCTGCTTTAGGCATTTTTCACCACTTGGTAAAATTAAAAAAGTTTAGGTTCATGTGTATCGTCTATATAATATTTTTTGAATAATAGTTAACTGCTTGGACGTGCACCACGTAGGCTGGTTTGAAGTGGCGCAAGAAGAGTGTCTGGAAGGATATAGAGAAGGCCTTTGCTCAGCACATATTATAATTAACTTTTAATTATTTTGAGCTATTTGTTATTACTGTTAACCAAACATTTTTGTATTGGGAAAAAAACGAATACTACTTCTTTGTAAATAATCATTATTTTCCATGGTCAATGTCTAGAGGTACAATTGTATCATCTGAAACGGCCGCCGTTGCATGATTTTTCGTGATGTCTACTCCAAGATAAAAAATGCGCGCAGCTTCCAATGGTGCAGCGGCCGTGGATGCAAGAGCTGTAGCAACGTTCGATACTATATTTTGACCTGTCTACCATATACTATTGGGTTCACCAATATATATGTATAATATTGTTTGCTCCTCACGTGTCGTGACTGCATTCTGCCTCTAATTAATATTTTGTTGTTAATCAATTCTTCGTGTTGATACAGTTCCACAATAAAGAGACAATACGATCAAGCGATCCCGAAATGATGTGTTCCCAAAGTGAAAAGAATTAAATCTTCATATGTGAGTTGTGGAAAGTCATCGAAGCAGCATTATTGGCGTCAATTGGCACGAAGGCAACTTTTTGTCTGTTTAAGTTATGCTGTCTCACATACTCCGTCATTTCATTCTCTCTATTGATATTTTCATTAATAATAATAGTAAATTGTTCAGCGTAAATGCTGTCCTCGTATAGACGACGAGTTGCATTGATGATTGCCGCGGTAATTCTGAAATCTGGTATTATGTTTGGTAGAGAAACATTAAAATAGATGTGCCGAAAGATTAAAAATCTTTCTTAAATCGACCATTTATGGTCTCGACCACCCAACGTTTCATTATGATGAGTCTCGACTTATTCGCATCTGCTGTCGTCAATTTTTCTCCTCTAGATCTAGTTGGTGGCATCTAAGGATTGTAGCTACATTCTTCAATACTAGGAATCGAGTCCCAAAAGCCACGGTCTAGTATAAAAATATCGTTCAGCCTAAGAAATCCACACATTCCGCCTGTTCCACCGCCCCCGAGCGGTTGTGTACAGGTTGTTCGCGTGCCTAGCGTCCCAACGCTAGTGCCCCCCGCTCCGCGCCTCGCGCTTTTCAGATAGTGAGCGCCTAGCGCTGAAGTCCGGTAAGTGTTTTCCTGCTAACTTTCAGTTCTCACCCCCCCGCCCTCGGTCGGGGAGGTTGGCTGACCGCTTGTTTATATTGTAGAACACTAGATACTAGTGTATAAGTTTATTAGTATATTTTATTACATATCTGTTTATTATATTCCGTGTATCTGTTTCTTGTAAAACGTTACTTGCTCTTTTCAGAGCAAGTCCCTGTTCTTTTGAGAACAGGGGTCTGTTTCTTGGATTAAGAGCGTCCCGTTCTTTTCAGAACGGTGATCCCTGATCCCCCAAGCCATACGATAGTTCTAATTTTAGTTTATTTTTAGTTTTGTTGTAGAATCGGTTAAAATGTCCTCGCAGAATTTTAAAGGTTACGTGCGCGATGCATACCATAGGTTCAAAAATGACCCGCAAGCTCTTACAGCAGCCATCTCAGCCCTTCTGGCTCCTCCCGCCGTTCAGGCACCGCCGCCCGTTATTGCGGACTACCTCGCGTCTCGAAACTCTTTCGCGCCGCTAGAAATCGACATGGAGTGCTCTCACTCCGACACCGCGTCGTCAATATCTGCCTCCCGGAAGAGGCCTGCTAAAAAGTCTAGCACCAGGACATCGGAGTCCTCTGACTCCGATGATACCGGTGACTCTAACAACTCTAACACGTCTTACACCACGGTGTCGTCAAAGCGCGCAGCGAAGCGCGCCGCGAAAAACCGGTTCGCCCCCCGCCGAAGCGGCCCGTGCCGCTCCCCCCACCCCCGCAGCCCCCGCCGCTGCCGCGTCTACCTCCGCAGCCCCCGCCGCTGCCTCGACCCCCTTAGATATTGCAGCGCCGTCGAAGCCGGCTTCACGTTGCGCTCCGCAACTCGCGAAAAAACCAGTTCCGCCCCCTGTCTTTTTGAGAGACAAGGCCGAGTTCACTAGACTGAGCAAGGTATGCTACGACTCTGGAATTAAATATGACATAGCTACGAACATGGGCGTAGCGATAAAAATAGTTCCCCAATCTATTGACGATTTTCGCCGACTCACTAGGCTTTTTACTAACGAACGAGTATCGTACCATACATACGCTCTTCCGGAAGAGCGTAAAGTCAAGGCCGTCATCCGAGGCGTCCCGTTCGAACTCTCCAACGAGGAGATTCTTGATGACCTTAAGTCACAAGGATTCCCCGTCGAAGCTGTTCATAAAATGCACAGTAGGACCGGGCTGAGATACCCGATAGTCTTAGCCATCCTAACCAACGATCCGGAGGCGCAAACCATCTTCCGGCAAGTACGCACGGTGTGCGGCTTGTCGGGAGTTAGGGTTGAGTCACCGCATAGGCGCGGTTTCCCGGCGCAGTGCCACCGCTGCCAACTATATGGTCACGCGGCGGCCAATTGCTCCGCCCCACCCAGGTGCGTTAAGTGCCTAGATCCACACATCACCAAAGAGTGTCCCCGGCCTAAAGATGCCGTATCCCCGCCCGCGTGCGTCCTGTGTCAACAGACAGGCCACCCGGCAAGCTACAGAGGATGCCCGTGCGCTCCTCGTCCTCGTATAACTAGACAGGTCCCACCGCCGGTAAATGACCGTTCATTCCCGGCGTTATATGTTAGGAGGCCCCGTCAGGGCGCATCTCAGCCGTCTCAGGGCGTTGCAAGACCCCCTCAGGGTCCCCCGAGACCACCAAAAGCACCTATTAGGCCACCTCCGGGCTTCTCAAAGCCTACACAGGCTCCAGTTTTTCCCTGGGGCCCCAAAAAGGTCGAAACACCGCAGGCAACCTCTGCTCCGCAGCAGAAACAGCCTACAATCGCCGATGACATTAACACGGTTTACGCCGCGATAAGAAACATTGACGTTAATGAAATTGCTATATTAGCAAACAAGTTGCGCGCCGCGCGGTCCCCTCAGGACCGTCTTCTGGCTCTCGTAGAGCACAGTAACCTATTGCGTTCGTTGTAAGTTAAGTTAACTTAATTAACTTAGCTTACAATGACAGAGCCCTCCGCTCTGCCTAAAAGTCACGGTCGTATCAAGCCCAAAGGGCTATCGCTTATTTCATTTAACATTCGCGGATTGCGAAATAACCTCCCAGAGCTTAAGCTATTCCTTAAAGATCGCGAAGCTGATTTTCTCCTCTTACAGGAAACCAACCTTAAAAATAAAGACACTAAAGGCTTATCCATTAAAAATTATTCTCTTCTTCGTAATGATAGGCACGACCGCCGAGGCGGTGGCACGGCCATTTATTACAAGAAGACACTACATTGCTCTCTTATTGATACTCCGCAGCTTACCAATATGGAAGCTACGTTATGCAGGTTATCTATGACGGGACATCAGTCTTTAGTCATAGCCTCCTGTTACATTCCCCCTAAAAACCTCCCCCTCAAAGATGATTTTGAGGCAATCTTATCTCTTAGTAATTCAGTCATTATGTTTGGAGATTTTAACTCTAAACATACTGAATGGACATGCCGTACGATTAATACTAATGGTAGGATACTGCGTGATATAACGCAGTCTCTCGACTTAACCGTTTTCAGCCCGCTCGGTGCAACGCACTATCCCGATGCTACCGATTTAAACCCAGATGTACTAGATTTTGCGTTACTCAAAGGAGTTTCACTCAACCTCAGGTCTATTGAGACACTAGACGATATAGGATCCGATCACCGACCGGTCTCCCTTATTCTTGGCCATCAGTCTCCCCCTATTATAACTACGAAAACCTTTACTAACTGGAAAGGTTTCAAGGACTCCCTAGCAAAAGCTATGGACTCGCAGGACTCCCCTAATTACCTATCGTCGGATTTAGACTTAGACAGTCCCGTAAAAATCGACACCGCGGTCGAATCACTTTCAACCCTAATTAAATCCTCCCTTAAGGAGAATGAAAGGGTCGTCCCGGTTGCTAATACTAATGGGCTTCCCCTATATATTAGCAACATATTAAAAGCTAAAAAAGCTGCTTTCCGGAGAGCAGCTAAATATCCCACCCCCGAATATAGGCATACGGCTAATCGTCTTCAACGAAAACTCCGTATGCACCTTTCTGAATTTCGAGACCTCCAAAGGAGTGAACTCATGGAGAATATAACTCCTTCTCATACAGCGTACTATCAGATGGCTAGAGCCTTCCGTATAGACGCTACAGCTCACACTCCCCCTCTCTCCCGCCCCGACGGTACGGTTGCCTTCGAGGACGACGAAAAGGCTGAGTGCTTTGCAGACAGCATTGCCGCACAATGCTCTCCTAGCTCTCAACCTGTCGACCCCTCACACATTCAGGAAGTGGAAGATGAGGTCCGCCGCCGGAACTCACCCCCCACATCCTCTGACCCTATCACTGTGTCCAATGATGAGATCTCATCCATCATCAAAGGACTTAAGCCCAAAAAGTCTCCGGGCGCGGATGGAATATCCAACCAAGCCCTTAAAAACTTTCCAGAGCAGGTGTTAACCCTCTTATCTATTATCTTTAACGCCTGTTTCAATCTTAGTTATTTTCCTACTACTTGGAAAGAGGCAATTGTCATTGGTATTCCCAAGCCAGGCAAGCCTCTTAACCTCCCCTCCAGTCATCGTCCCATTAGCCTCCTAAAGGCCATGGGCAAACTCTTTGAAAGAGTCATTCAAAATCGAATGAGGCGCCATCTGTTTCCCACAGACGGTGACCCCCTTGTCATCCCACACCAATTTGGTTTCCGTGCGAAACACTCGTGTCCACAACAAGTACACCGCATTGTGGAATATGTCCTCAGCGGTTTTTATCCACGTCGACTAAAGACAATCGCGGTCTTTTTCGACATTGCCAAAGCCTTCGACCGCGTCTGGCACGAAGGCCTTATTTTTAAATTATATAAGATAGGACTCTCCGATCGTCTAGTACGTCTCGTAGCCTCTTACCTACAACATCGTAACTTTCGATTTAGACACGAAGGCACGTTATCCTCTCAGCGCCCCATTAAAGCTGGTGTTCCTCAGGGATCAGTACTAGCTCCCCTCCTGTACATCTTGTACACCAACGACATTCCAATCCCGTCGAATGGTGTACAGCTCTCACTCTTCGCAGATGACACTGCTCTATACCTCAAAAGTCCTAGAATATCTTCAGCAAGGAACAAGATCCAAAAGTCAGTCGATGACCTAGGAGATTGGTTCCAAAAATGGCGTATCGATGTGAACCCGGAGAAGAGCTCCGCAGTTCAATTCGATATTAAAAGACGCCGTAATAAAAACAAGAAAAATACTCCACCTATACGAATGCTAGGGACCCCTGTCCCATGGCATATGTCAGCAAAATATTTAGGCGTCACCCTTGACTACAGGCTTACTTTTGAGCCTCATGTCAAAAGAGTAACACGTCTAGCTCGTTTATACCTAGGTAGGCTTAACAGTATGTTAGGCCGACATAGTAAAATGTCACTAAGAAATAAGCGAACCCTTTATAAGGTTTGTATACGTCCCGTAATGACTTACGCGGCCCCCGTATTCGCACACGCCGATAATAAAATTATTAACGAACTACAAGTAGTTCAAAACTTATTCTGTCGTCGAGCTACGAACGCACCTTGGTACGTCCGTAATGCCGATCTTCACCGGGATTTAGAAATCCCAACAATTCAGCAATTTACTAAAACTCTCTCTGAAAACTTTTTTAAAGTTTCAGAGTCGCACAATAACTCATTAATTCGTGAGGCAGTAACTTATACCGCCCCACTCCCTTCCCGCTATACCGTCCGCAGGCCGAGAAACACTCTCTCGGACCAGCCAAATAAACTTTCAAGCGACCTGAACTGCCTTCTGGCGGCTCAGGCCAATACTAATTAAAGTAAAAATTATTTAAAATCAATATGCCTTCGTAGGCAGTCCCTAAACGGCACTTAGCCGTCTGCGCCCTCTTTTCCCAAAAGAGGGTCGCTTTAGATATGGCATGTGAAGCTTTCAACAGCTGGTTGCCAGTCCCCAAAGGCAGTTTTTAGAGGGTATCACTTAGGTTCCCCTTGTAGGTCGTGAGTCCCTCATAACCACGATGGACCGGCCATCGTGGTATGCGTAATGCATTTTCTGCCTCCCTTCGGGGTAGCCCATTTCCAATTGCTTCGGGCGCAAAAAAAAAAAAAAAATAAAAAATAAGAAATCCATGCAAAGCAGAGGTTTAGTCTTCCATCAGGCTGCGCATAATTGTGGCATCCGAAGTTGTTGCTGCAAAGGGTCCCACAACATCTAAAATGTAACCATCTGTACAATCTACCACAAACAATTCACTAGGTTTCGGAATGTATGCAGGCTGTATGTTACCCGTTGAAACAGGAAATTGGAGCTCTTTTGAATGTATAAATAAGTGCCGTTAAAAACCATAATAACTGAGCCGCGATCGTCTCCGAAAATATGAGAAGAAATGGAAAGATTTCGAGCTACCACCTCTTCTCCGGTCAAATGATCTAATCATGTAAAATACCACACAAAATCACTTGTTAAACATTCTCTTACTATTCGTAAATTTCTTACTAACGTACTTCTTTTTTAAAAAAAACGTTACCCGCATACTGGGATTTTCCGGACCCGGAACAATTTTTTGTAGACCATACAAATACTTGTTCCGTGCGGGATTCGAACCCGCGGGCCCCAGCGCATCAACTCATTGCTAAACCACTGCGCCACGGAGCTTTCTTCTGTTCTTGACATGTTGAATTTGTATATTAATGTAGCTAAACGTTCATCCAGTACACCAGATCTTATTTTTGTTAAATAAACCCCTGACACTGTAGCAGGAGTATTGGTTATGTTCCGAAGCGACGTTGTTAGTTGTAAAATTCCATCAATATTTTCGAAATCCATTTAGTTGTTTCGTTCCAACCCCATTTATATATTATACTGATTATATCAAGTACATAGGCAATATTAAATTGCATAACTGGCTGAGCATTCACTTCTTCCCTATCATTTATTACTAAATGCGGATGACGGACTTTGTTAAGTGGAGTATACAAAAATTATCATTATGTAACAAATGTAACTTCACATATGATGGTACCATGTGCGTAACCATATTCCTGCAGTTACGAAATATGCACCGTCTTGCTGTATTTGCAACACGAGAATAGCCTTGTAGGTGAATCAAACCGGGATTCACTTGTATGCCCGCGTCTTGCATTTCCCCATCAGCATCTCGTATTTGTTAGGGTGGTTGTACTTGTACTTTTTGGGGTGGCTGGATTGATTATACGGAGCACAATCCAATCTCACCCAGCAAGCATGGTATAATGATCGTGTAGCCATCAAAATAAATCTGAAACCAATAGAAATAATTAAATATATACCCTTGTTTAATTAGTCGCTTAAGAAGGAAGTCTTCTAGCCGTTTAATTGTTTAGAAACTAATTGTTGAAAAAAGACAAAGAAAACATATACATATTGACACGAACAGAAGAATGAATCATCATATTTATAAAAAAAAACTATAACGATCATTATAGTGTGTAATGACTTTTATTTAACTACTGAGTGGAATTTCTCCATATCACTTCATAAATAACAGAGCGCCTGCATTAAGCTACATTTCTATAAACAAACCCAAACAGTTATGATACTTACCTCAAATAGTATTATTTCTTGTAATAATAACTCGACGTAATCTCGATATCTTTCGAAAAATAATTCTGTAAGATTTTGCTTTTTTTATAGGATAGGATGACAAATGAGCACACAGTTCATCTGATGGTAAGTGGTGGCTGTGGCCAATAGATTGCCAGTCAAAATGTAGATGTGTTGTCACCCGTGAGGACTAAGATGAAATGCCTCTTTTCCAGTAGAAAGGGTCTCCGGTTCTCTACACTCACCATACGAATCTATGTAAACTGATGAACAGTATAGCAGCGAATAAAATACGAACAAACAAACATTAAGGCTTTAAGTAGCCTGAATGACCTTGACGAAATGGTGACCGCAGAGATTTTAGCCGACATCAAAACCATCTAGGGACTACTTTCTGTATTACTTAAAAAAGTGCAAAGATTAATAACTGCAGAGGTGACAGTTATATAAGTGATATTCTGCATATTATGCTTGCGCTTCACTGAGAATTATGTCTCTGTTAAGCATCTTCAATTACATTGCACGGTGTGTTTGTAGCTTAGTCCGGTTGATATCACGAGTTATCAATTTTTTAATTTTACGTACTTACGTAAGAGTTCTTATTATTTTGTTCAACCGTATTTATTTGTGTCATATTAGTAGCTCTGAGTCTAAGCTCTCGCTGTAAATTTCGCCTAGGATTGATCCCCGGCAGCATAAATGAAATTTTTAATTGCAATTTTAATTGCTGATTTAGTGACTCGGCGGTGAAGGAAAACATCGTTTAGATACCTAAATGTTTGAGTAATAGGCAAAAAAATCAAAGACATGTAAAGTCCGCCAACACGCATTGAGGCAGACATTTTCTTGCCTTAAAATCCTCCCAGAAATAAGGAGAGTCCCGTACCCAGCAGAGGAACTTATATAGCTTGTTACTTTATTTTTGTATAGTATACATATGCAATATGCATATAGAGTTTAGAACGTTTCAGATAGGACATAATAAAAAATAATACTAAATATTATGGGAATGATTTATAAATAATATACACATTTATAGGTATTTATGATAATAATAATGAACAACCTGCAAGGTTCAACTAATAATGTTTCTTGTAAACACAATTGTAAAATTCTTGTTTTCATTTTTACCAATGGTTAATTGATGAGACGTAGTCAAGATCACTTCATATAAAATATATTTAATTAAAATTGACGCATGACCTATTTGGCCTTCTACTTAAAACTCGGCGGAAATTTGAAAGGAAGATTTTGTCTGTTCTTAATTATCTTGTGTACACCATTTTTCACAGAAGTATTATTTACAACTGGCGTGGTTTCCAAAAGAGTGATAAAGTGTCAGCTATATAGCGACAATTAGATCCTGAAATTTTTGACATTTATTTTGTTTCTTTTTGTTATATCTTGTAACCTTTTTAAAAACTGACGCAAACTCATTAGTTTATTATTTGTTATATTATTTTTTGTATCGTTGGGTCTTGAATACGTTTGTATATAATTTTTTAATTTTATCACATAATATTCGCAATAAATTAGTAAGTTTTCTGCAGTGATTCTCTCCTCTTAGTTTCGGCGTGACTGTAGGATGTTATATAGGCACTGAGTTACCGTCAGTTACTAAGCGGCCATAAATCATTATATGAATGTATAGATATACATTTTTTGATTTTATAATTTTAGATTTTTTTGAATTTTGATTGATTTTTGAAACCTGGTAAATTTTTTTTTTCATACCAATTGATGGACCTGAGTATAATGCCAGTTGTGCTCTGTGGCTCAAGTTATTTTTTTATTTTATGCACAATTGCAGACAAAACAAAATTGGTTGCGCATCTCTAAACAAAATTTTATCTCTTCTACTTCTAAAATAGCTCCTGCATCTGACACGGCGGAATAGTTTTTTCTATAAGACCATTTGCAGTAACAACTTTTGTTAACAGTTATGACTGTAACATTTTTATCGGCTGCTTTATTCATAGTACCATGAGAAACACTTTGCCGGTTTCTGTACAGAAAATGATGCTGGCTTTGGTATTTCTTATTTGAAATAATCCGTAGGCGTAGTGCTGCAGAAAACTGTTCCAAAAATGGATGGCCGCTGCTAATGAATATAATACCTGCTATGTTACACTTATTTACTTACAAACTTAAATTATTGGCATTTTTACACAAGAAAGTAAATTTTGCGATCAGTCCATCTTGTTTTTCGCCAATTAAGTGAATAGTAATACAAACGAAAAAGTACGTAATTTAAAATTTCTTGCAGCTTTTTATAAAAAAGAATGACCTTATCATAATATGATATGTAATCATTTAGCCATCTGATAAAACTTTTAAGTCTGCCAGTCATACATTAATGATGATATTTGGGTCATTATACTGGAAATAGTCTATTAAATATTTTATAGTACAATTGATCATCTTCAGTATGATTGACCACGTGTATGAACAGTGGTAGAGCCACGCGGCAACTTTTGCTGGCTACCACAGGAGGGTACCAGCACCCCTGGAGAATCCCTCGCTGAGCATCCACGACCAAACTACTCCACTCATGAACGTGGCTGCTCAGGCTGCCCCGGAGCAATAAGATCACAGCAACCCCTGTCACGCTGTCCGTGTCTGTTTGTTTGTTTTCGACGCCTCGGCAGTCTTGAAGGTAAGGATCTGTCCATCCCATGCTGCGCGTAGACAGCGACGACCATCCCCGTGTCTACGGGTGCCCCTAGGTCCCATAGCGGTAATGTCGACACAGACCGACTCATCGACCACGTCCAAATGGCTGCAGACTCAGTGCTACAACAGGTCCCGTCCGCAGAGATCGTGATACTCCGTGATTTTACGCCCACCACGCTGAATGGCTTGGTTTCCGTTTAACCGATCATGCAGGTAGATCTGTCTATGATTTTGCCTTGGCATATGGTCTAACACAACTGGTTACTTCGCCTACGCGGATCCCAGATGTGGAGGATCATGTACCTTCCTTGTTGGACCTTCTGCTGACCTCTCATCTGGATGGATATCAGGTATCCGTCGATGCCCCTCCGGGCTCTTCGGATCATTGTCTGATCCGGAGTACGGTGCCACACACGCTTCCATAGTAGTTGCGATATGCAGCTTGCCGCCGTGTTTGGCACTGTAGGTTGGCCGATTGGGATGGGATGCGGTCTTTTTTTGCATCCTACTCTTGGGGGTGGGTTGGCTTCTCGCCGGAAGATCCCAGCATTGTTGCCGATTCTGTTGCTGATGTGGTACTTCAGGGTATGTAACTTTTTATTCCATCCTCTGTGGTGCCTATCGAAAGCAGATCCTAGCCATGGTTTGGTCGCTCCTGTAAAATAGCATGACGCTATAAGCAAGAGTGCTACCGGGCCTTGGTCCACCCGATCCCTAAAAACGGCGACCGCTCAGACCCGTCCAAGTACAGGCCTATCGCCATCACCTTGTTCTCCAAAATAATGGAATCCATTATAAACTGCCAGCTCATGAGGTACCTTGAGGATCATTAGCTGATTAGTGACCGCCAGTACGGTTTTCGTTGAGGTCGATCAGCTGGTGAGCTTCTGGTCTACCTGACTCATAGACGGGCGGAGGCAGTAGAGTCCAAGGGGGAGTCATTGGCCGTTAGTTTGGACAAAGCGAAGGCCTTCGATTGGGCCTGGCACAAAGCGCTTTTTTCGAAGCCTCCTTCCTCTGGGCTTCCCGAGATATTGTGCAAATGGGTCACTGGGTGCTGATCGGAGGATCAAGGTCGTAGTAGACAGTGCATGCTCTGATTTCAAGCCTATCAACGCTGGTGCTCCACAAGGCTGCACCAACGCTGTTTCTCCTGCATATCAATGATATGTTGCAAACCAGTAACATTCGTTGCTATTCAGACGACAGCACTGGAGATGTCTTATATACCGGCCGTGCCAATATTTCTCGGGAAAACGTCGCCGAGTAGGTACCGCGACAAACTTGTGTCTGAAGTTGAGTCTTTGCTGGACAAAGTCTCGTTTTCGGGGCGACTAAATCTAGTCCAGTTTAATCGCCAGACAAGTTTACCCTTATCATATAAAAAAAAGTTTGCGCGTTTACCAATAAAGTGAACCCCTTTTTCGTATCTCCTCAGTTTCAAGGCACTCCCCTTGCTGATTCAGCTAGCATCGGAATCCTCAACATCGACATATCAAATAGCATGCAATTTCTTGGTCACTTGGAAGGGAAGGCCAAATTGGCCTCTAAAAAGCTTGGCGTGCTCAGCAGAGCGAGACAATATTTCATGCCGGCACATCGCTTGCAACTTTACAAAGCGCAAATCCGGCCTCACATGGAATACTGTTCTCATCTCAGCTCCTTCCACTTAACCACATCCAGCGTAGAGCGGTTCGAATCGTCGACGACCGAGCTCTTACTAATCGGCTCGATACACTGGCACTGCGTAGGGATGTTGCATTCCTTTGTATTCTCTATCGAATTTACCACAGGGAGTGCTCTGAGGAATTGTTCGGATTAATTCCAGCCGCCTAATTTCACGAACGCACATCTCGTCAAAATTCACGATACCATCCTCATCATCTGGATGTTTGGCGGTTCACGACTGTGAGTTTTACTAGGAGTTTTCTTTCTCATACAACTTCTCTGTGGAATTGTTTACCACCGGTGATTTTTCCGGACCGATACGACTTAGGGACCTACAAGTAAAAAGAGTTTAGACCTTCCTAAAAGGCCGGCAACGCATCTGCAATTCCTCTGGTGTTGCGGTTGTTCATGGGCGGCGGTAGTCACTTACCATCAGGTCAGCCGCATGCTAGTTAGCCCCCTCTTCTATAAAAAAAAGACTTTTATAAGTTTGTGCTATTTTTGATGAAAATATTATTGCAGATAAAATTCCTTTCACATTTACGAGTATTTTAGTCTCCAATTAAAATAATAAAAATAAAAATTTTAACTTTTTAATAAGTCCCATCGGTAGCCTTCGTTTTACATAGAGATCTTGTAATGACGTGCATTTCTTTCAATACGAGTATGAACTAAATCGTGTTTCTTTGAAATTGTCAAGGTTTGATTTAGCTCCGCGATCTTAGCGCCTCATATGCGTAATTTCGATTCACCAATTATACCATCTGAAAGGTCAGAAATTGGTCATAAAAGGTCACTTGGTCTTATTAATTGGTCAGCGTTAGAATTTTTTTATCAAGGGTTAAAGTTTTTCAAGTTCATTGAGAAATTTTAGCACCTCATTCGCGAAAAAAATAAAAAAATACAC